AAATAGACTAACAAAAATAACTGGTTTTTTAAGAAATCTAACTTTCATAATAAAAAAGGCTGGAGCATTTGTCATAATGTGGAGCATCGTGATCGTTCTGCATGTAGAATGATACAACATGGCTCTTCGATGTATAGACGATCACTTTTTTACTTTTCTGTTCCTCGATCCAACAAGATGTTAAATGGAACGCCTGATTTATATTTGTTGGTAAGTTTCCATTTGTTTCTGCATTCTTATCCATCAAATCTTGAAAAACTGCAATAGAGTAACATTTTTTACGGATGTCTGTTGTCAACTTATTGTTGAAGTCAATTGTTTTGAATGGCAGTTTGTTGTTTGCAGCATTGAGTTCTTGCAAACTGTTTTCTTTCCTTAACATAACATCATTTTTGTTATAAATGTTTGAACGACGAAATTTTTCTTTATTTCGAATGCCGTTGTAAAAATCAAGCATTGATATTTGAACCGTTTGACCGAGTTGAGCTCTGATGATCCAAGGACATCGGAAAGTTCCATGCCACGTGTACATGCTGAGGCATGCGCTTAAGTAACCAGACCTTTCTCGTATGTCGGAGGCTGTCACATTATCGATGCAACGCTTGCCTTTATATTTCTTATCACTCTTGTTAACGCTATCAACGTTTTTGCGGTTGTTAAACGCATTGCTAATATTTTTAAATTTCAATTCTTTGTAATAATTGTTGCTGGATTTTTCACTTTTGTTAATTAACTTGACATTTTTAATCATGTTTTTGCCGTAATGAACAATAGAGGAAGATGAGGAGGAATGAATAGTTGACGCATCCTGTTCCTCGTCCGTTTCTAATGCAACAAAAGAAACAACTGCAAACGATGAAAGTGTTTGTTAGTTTATGCATCAATGGGTAAAATCGCGAAAACCAAAACAGCTTTGGCATGCAAATTTGTTAATTTTATTGAATTCAAAATAGTTTCTATGAAAAATACTTAACATTTAATTCGGGGAAAGCACGCACGTTTGGACGTGCTAAAGTGTTTCTGTACGCGAATATTTATGCGAATTTGATTAAGATAGTTGCACGCTGATCAATAAAAAGCCTCATGCATTATTAATATCATGCATGATCGATTGCCAAATGTTTTTTCTGGAATAAATAAACATCGACAACAAGTGATTGCATGACGTTTTCGTATTTATTTTTATTATTTTACAAAATTTCTTCACATATTTTTTTACATCCAAAATTGTTTTTGAAACACTTTTTATAAACGTTCTTCTAGTTCTAGAGCAGGGCTTTACAATTTTTTAAAAATATATTATGAAATTTTCATGGAAAACATTTTTTAATTATTTAATTTTTGATTAATTCGATAAAATAATTATTAATAGTAAATTAATTTTAAAATCAACAATTAAATCGAATATCTCTCAGCACTGGCAAGAGATTTGTGATTCAATACTCATAACGTAAAATATAAGTTGATGATAAAAAGTTACCGAACCCATATAAAAAAAGTACACAATACTACAATTTCGAATGATCAAATGATAAGGCATTCATGTTTGACAATCATCGATCTATTTTCTATTAATATGTTTTATTAAAAATTTATCTTACCGGGCTGGCAAATGTAACTGGCTTCCATGTAAGATACTAAATCAATCCGACATGGTTTAACTTTAAAAAATTCAGAGTCTGGTACAAAAGAGCAATTGAATCTTCCTGAACACCTGAGAATACAAGCACTTATTTATGCAATAATTGTGAAAATATTTTGGAAGTGAAGGACAACTTCAGTTATTTTTCGTAAGCGAACGTTGAGGTCGATTTGCGCTTTAAAAAATGTTTCTAATTGTAAATTCTGTTAAGTTAAAATTTGTACATAATATCAACACATTATTGGATATCAGCAATCAAAACAGTGATCTAAGTCAAACTATCTAGATCTGAACAAACGATTGAAAAGTTTCAGTAAGTGAGAATAGAACAGTTAAATTTTGTGCCATTGAAAAACTATTATATGTTTTGCAAGCAATTAAATTAAAATTAAATTAGTTTAGTTATAAATGATGAGAATTGTTTAAAAATATTTTCATTTAAGATGTTATACTACCCTTTTTTGGAGTAAATTTCAATTGTTATTTGTGAAAACTTACCTGGCTTCTGATTGGTCCAGGACATCTGCGTAACAACCAATCAAATAATCAAATGGTACACATTTACCGACACGCATGCGCCCATACGTTGATGACGTCATAATGATAACCTCATTAGGATCACAGTTTGCAACGAAGATGTCTCTATCACAATATTCTTTCATTTCTATTATGTTATTGGAAGATGTTAAATCATTAAATTACAATTAAAGCTTATAAATGTTTGTAAATAATAATGTCAAAAACAATGTCATTTATTCGGCGCCCTATGCATAGCGTCAGAAGCTCTTGGTTGCTGTTGGCGAAAGTTCTAGATTTCTGCTATCAATGAATATGCCTCGGATGTTTCGGGTAACGCTCAATGAGTAGTTGTTGATGAATGAGCGAGATAGTGATTTATATTCTTCATGCAATACACAAGAAAGATAAAAAAATTACAAATTGTACGAAATGAAACAGTGGAGCTAGATTTTAAGAGCAGTCACGGCGTTGTCAATTGTGAGCGATAATATGCAGGAATCGTTTTGTTGGCTTGAGCATTCCAGACGACCAAACTCTAGCAACATTAACAATTAAATTTAATTAATATATTCCTGACAAAATACAATCCGAAACCATTTCTGCAGCCTGGAATGGCCAAAGAACGTTAACATCAACGAAACATTTTTTCCTACATTTCACTTTCTGGAGAGATCAATATTATAATTATTATAGCCATTTTTAAAGTTATTAACGGCTTACACAACAATGTAATGTTTTTTTATACTTTCTGATGAGAATAAGCAGTTATGAGTGGTACTTTTACTCAGTATTTTTATTCGAGTTCTGATTTTAGGTACATACAATTTGTAATTTTTTTTATCTTTTTTTGATAATTTCAAGCACATACAACTTGTAATTTTACACTCTAGTTATACTTGAAAATTTAGAAATTTACAACGTACATTAGAAAAACTGACAAATTTAGTGTTAGAAATTTTGAGGAGACTAATATTTTTTTTTATTTATTTTTATTTAAATCCAGCAAAAAAGTTCAAAAAATTAAGATTTTTTGGAAGCTAAAAAAATTTTTCGGTGTTATAAAAAAACAAATATTGAATTTTGATTCTGGAAAATAAAATGAAAAGATGCCATATACTATAAACTGGATGAAAAATGTGAATAAGAACTGAACCAAATACTTAATTCGAGTGTCAAGTGTGCAAGTTTCAATTGCTCCTATTGCCAGTCAACCACACAAATTCTATTTCTATGATGCAATAATATGTCTTATTGAATTTTTCATTGATTTGAATTGAAAATTTTGGATTTGCTTGACCGTTTAGTGTTTTTTTTGCATTTGAACTAAAAGTAGGCTACTTGTACTTGGAATATTAAAATTTTCAGTTCTTGCACTTGAAAAAGAGAGTACTTGAAAACATTTTTGAAAATAATTACTGATAGTGCAGCATAAACAAATCATTCATATTCTAAAAAAACATTTCAAAATAATTTTTTGGTTTGAATGTAAATATCACATTTTCAACCAAATATGCCGACAGTGTGGAACTAATTTTTGTTATTAATCATAAGTAAAGACATCAATTTGCATTAATGGAGTGCAAATTATTTAGCTAAAAATTGATTTGTTAATAATTGTTAAGAAATTTTCGTTAAAACGTACTTCGTATAAGAATGTCTGATATGATACATAAATAATGTAAAATCTTAAAAATTAAGATGAACTAAAAAATTACAAAAAAAGAGTCTAACAAACAATTCTTTCCTTTTAAACATTTATGTTTTAAAATATGAAAGAACGTTCGGAAATTAAAGTTCACTCAGGTTAAATAACAAGCGTAAAATTAATAGCTGACAGAAATAATTTGAAAACAATAACAAAGTTGCAATATGCAGGAATCTATTCATGTAATAAGTAAAACTGTCCAAATATATTGTTTACTTGATGTATCGCTCACGAAAACAGACAATTACATTCTTGAATATTTTCAAACAAAGCAAACCATATAGATAAAATACCAAGGGAACATTAGTTCAATTGCTTCATAATAATACCAACTGTCAACAATTGATGGTGTCGATGTGGTGTTTTGACTGTGTGAGTTTATCACGAGGACACAAATGGGTTTTTATTACAGGGAATTATGATAAAAAAATTAATTGGCATTATTTAATGCGATTAAAACTTTATTAAATCCGTTACCGTTAAGATTTTTGAAAGAATATTGCAAAAAAATTATTGACATGACTAACTTGCTGAAATGATTCTAATAATAAAACTTGTATGACCAATAAACTTAAAAAAGATTTCTAATAATTTTTTTAATAAAATGACAAATTTTTGACTATTTTTAACGTGTTAAGCAAGTTCAACAAAATGATTCATACTTTGCATGATTCATATGAATACAATATATTATTAGGTATTAATATTTTTTATTGTTAAGTGGTAGGGCTCGGTAATCTTATTGGTTTTTTTGGTAAACCCAAAAAATTCATTTATTTGTTTTCATTTTATTTCACCATTTTCTTGAGTTATATAAAAAAGCTCATATTTCACTATTATTGAAAAGATAAACGTATATAGTACCAATAAGACATTTTCACAGGCGCTCTCATGTTTAACAAAACACAAAAACAGTTAAATGACCAACATCATGAATCAAAATAAAAACAGTTAAATGTTACTTTGAAAAAAAAAACAAAAAGTTTACAATTTTTTTTTAAATGTTGCAAGACTATTTTTTCTCAGTCTTTTAATTTCCATTCAACGTGTTTAGAACAGACTCAAGTTTATTGATATCTATTAAACCCCAAATAAACATCCAACAAAGAATGACCAACTTGACGTCTTAATACTAATCTAAAAAAAATGAAGAACAAGAAAATGACAAAAACGAAGAATATAAAGAATACAACACAAACTAAATAACCCACATTGCCAAATAACTAACTATGCATTGTCTAAAGAAACTATATAAGCCAAAGCTGCACTGAAGATGATTTGTGAAAAATTAAACAATTTCTAGAAAATTCTAGTAAAAAAATTGAAAAGACAAACTCTCAATTGATTAATGCCAACAATTCAGTTGAATTCATACAATACAGTATTTTTCGGTAACTAGCCCTGAGATAGTTGACAGTTATTATTATTAATATGGTCAATATTTATATAGCGCGAATTATAATTCAAAATTCTCATATCATAAGGTTACTTTGCAAAAGTTCTTGAACAGATACTTCTTCACTAATAGAATTGCGACTCTATGGAACAGACTGCCAGAAAAGGTCGTCGAAGCAGCAAATGTTAAACACTTCAAGATGAGATTGTATGTTTTTACAAAAGACTTTGAATTTGTGTATGATTATAAATTAAATGCTTTATCGCGATTAATTTGATATTAAAAATTATTTTAATTTTGAATCTAATATATCCAGCTATTGAATATTTAAGTTATATTAAAAATTTAATTTGATTTTGGACATTTATGCATCTTAAAGACATTTTCTTAGTAAAACATTTGAATTTAGAGATATAGACTTTTCCGGGCATCTTGACTCTTTATCTTAACGAAACAGTTCTGTGACAAGCAACACTGCCAGTTAATCTTTACTGTCCGCTTTTTAGGACTTTTAGGATTCTCTTGTCTTGAAGACTTTTACCGTATAATGATATATTATAAAAGCTTTATTTCCACGTCATATAAAACGGATGAAAAAATATTAAAATACAGACATGAAGAACGTCAAGACAATCAATCAATCAATGACAAATTACAACTCAGAATTCACTATGCAACCAGCAGAACTTTTTTTCTTATTCTCAAAAATAATTGTAACATGAAACAAGAAAAGTCAATGATTTGTCATCTGATATATTATTTTAAATGTCCTATGTGTTAGTCCGGGCACCGAATTTTAGAATATAACGAACAGGCTACAACTACATTGACACGAAGATTAATTGAGCCATACAAAGAGGTGCAATAAAAAATCATTCAATCTATAACGATGAAACTCCAATTACTAGAGAGATACTCAATAATTGCACTTAATTATTCTATCGCCTCAGGAATTCGTTTTAACTTAAAATAAAAATTTCAATTTTTTCGCAAATCATCTTCAGTACAGTTTTGGCCTATCTGTAGGATGAATTTAGATAATAATTATATTTTTAATAAATTGAAACTCTTTCCAAAAAATTCTAGTAAGAAATATTGAAAAGACGAACTGGTTAATGCCAATAATTCGATCGAATTCTTACTATACTGTATAAAATATGGTCTACTTCCAACATCTTCCAATTTTTTGACGTAAAAACATTAATTAAGCATTTGAATTGAAATTTTGTATATACGTATTTGGATATGGCGGTTATCTAACATAAAGCTATAATTATTAATTTTTTTGCATTCAAAAAGATTTTAAAACAATGTTTTTTTTACAAATTTCTGACGTCCATGAATTCGCTGGTCATTGTTAATCTTGTTGCTATCTCACAAATTTCTAAACATTTTCCATTACTGAAATATCATAATTATTTTAATTTTTCGCGTTTCTTGCTCCAAAACTTTATTTCCGCGTTTGGCTGAAGTTTCTTTATAATGTTTATAATGTGGTTTCGAACCTACAGAAATATTTTGCATTACAACTTATTTATTTTTTTCTGTTATAAATTTGATTTCCTACAATTAGTTTATGTGTTTTTTATTGTAAATTTGAGTCTTTATAAATCAATTGTTTTTCTATTTTTTGATTGTTAAATTAAACTGTTTCGTTTTCATAAACGTTATTTCTTGCGTTTAATATATATTTGTTTATTTTTTTTGTGAAATGTCCACAAAAACCTTTACCAAACTTGTCCAATCTTATTTGATTTTCAAAAATCAATTGCGCTTTCCTGGTTTCTATTTATTATTTGTTGTTGCCGGTTGGTTTTGAATAAAAGGTAATTTACAAAATAGAGCAAATGAAAAAGTACCAATTGCAATATTTTAACACTCTAATTAACGTTATTGAAAATTATTTTGTTGCTCTAGTAAAATTATTTTACAAGTTTAATAATAGATATATTAATCATTTTTGCATATTTCCTTTTAAACTTTTTATTTGGATCACAATCTTTACATGAAATATTTCGACTGAAGATCCAAAGTGCGCACTGGCACTTAAATGGACTTTTGGGATTTGATGTTGAAAGTTTTGTAAGCAAGCAAGTTTACAAAATGTGTTGACTGTTTTATTCCCTGTATCAACTGTTGTAATACATACATATATCAACTAAGTTATTTTTTAAATTAACAATGTTATTCTCTTCATCAAATATGTTCTTCCTTAAACCACCTGTTATTTCCTATATCATCTCGTTAATATTAAATGTGTTATCATTCCTATCATCTGTATTATTATATATGGCATCTGTGTTTTTTCCTATATTATATTAACTGTGTTATTCCCTATATCATCTATTTTGCCTTATATTATCAGATGTTTTCATACATCAACTGTTATGTTATCAATGTTATTTCTTAAATAGAATAAATTGTGTTTTTTCATATCATGCGTGCCATCCGTGTTATTTCTAATATCATCTGTGTTAATTCTAGTATCAGTTGTGTTGTGTTTATCAGAGGTAAACATTAGAACAAGAATTGTTGAATTCACATGAGATGGGTGAAATCAAATTTTTCAGTGTGAGAATGCTTACACGAGATTCAGAAATGTAGAGCGGGATAAGAACAGGGACTTTAACTAAATTTTGATAAAATGTTATTGTTAAATAATCTGACTTCACCTCAGCATTCTTCTGAGTAACGTGTAAACTTATTATTAGCATTAACATGATTAATTACAACGTGACATCTATTTTAATTGTGATATTCGTTATTTTAACTGTGTAATCCTCAATCTCAACTGCTTTATACTCTATATCAGCTGTGTTAAACACAATATCCATTTATTATCATATACTATATATCAGCTCTGTAAGTTCAAGTGTGTTGATCTTTTTTCAACTGTGTTAGTTAGTCCTTAGTTCTGTAACCTATTATGTATACTCGTTTATTATGAACAAACTATAAATTTGTTACATAATGGGGCATTTCAAAAGAGTAAATCTGTATTATTTCCTGTATCAGCTGTGTTTTTTCTTGTTTTGATGTTTGTAATGTTGTTTGACCATGTTGCTTTGCAAATCATCTGTTATTTTTACATCAACTGTTTATTTTTTGGTTATATTCCGTTTTTACTTGCATTTTTAAAATTCCGATATAGCTGCGTGTTTGAAATATAATATTACGAACAAAATGTAGAACGTAAAATGAAAACTTTTTAAAGACATTAGTTTCCAAAAATTTGATATCCAATGTACATGCAAAAAATAAACTTAATTGAAATAAATTTTTGAGAAAAATTACTTAATTATTTCATTAAAGATTTTTTCAAAAGTCTACATAAAAAAACATTAGCACAAATAGTAACAAAATAAAACTTAATATTTTTTAATTTGAATATTATTTAAATAAAACTCACATGAACCTTATGAAGCATTTGTTAACATGTGTGATGATGTAATGAAAATTTTTTAAACCAATGGCTGATTGTTATTATGTCTTTTTAAAAATTTATGATGAGAAATATTGGAAAAGTTTCAATGAAATAAAAATTATCATTGACCTTTGAACGTTTAACAGTTCAGTTTTATTCAATTACAAGTTACTTATTAATTTTTTTAACACACGAAAAAATATTTATGGTATATATATATATATATATATATATATATATATATATATGTAAAATAATTTTTGCAATAGTAATATTCTAATCGATGTTGATATTTGGAATAGTTTTAAAAACTTTTTTGTTCTTCACAATTTGATGATATCAAATTGAGGACATTCTATAAAATAAAAATATTTCTACCTGGTTGGTTGGTTGAGTATGTGGAAGTGCAGAGCGTTAAAATGAAGACGATTGTTGATTGAAACATTTTCTTTCAGTAAATCTACAAGTGCTTTGCATCAGAAAACTATTTATCTTTACTTTTCAAGTATTTTTATAACAACTTTCGATGTGTTTATATATATATATTATTTTAATTATATATATATTATTTTAATTATATATATATATATATATATATATATATATATATATATATATGAATAATTTAATAAAATCTAAGTATCTGAGTTCTAAAAAATCACTTGATCATATTTCATACATCAATTTCTGTTTATACAAGCAAAAAATTTGCTATAATTGCTAATTTATTTTAATTAGCTAAACGCAATAAAACTTTTTGTTAAACAATTTGGCTCAATTTATTTTACAAAATTATACGGTGGCTTATAAATAAAAACGAAAGGTATTTAAATGATTTGGAATATTCAATGGATGAATGCAAGCGAAGTGTTTAACTGCACAGCATTCATATCTATCTATAGGACGGATTTACATGGTCGTCGATCATACCGACAACACGTTTACAATTGAACGCTATATGTCGATTATTTAGAAAATTTAATAATGCAATTTAACATTATTTTAACAGTTTATTACTTGAAATAATTGGTTAAATTTTTTATCAAATTAAAACTAGTTTAAAGCCTTTTGAAGAGAAAAATTGTCAAAAGGGTCTAAAAATTTGTCTGCTTAATGATATTATTATATTATTTAATATGGCTAAAACGTTTGTATAATTAAAAATTACTTTGAAGACTCAAAAGATGGTATAATTCGCATCGGTAAAAGTGACTATTTAATGTTAAATTTTTAGTTTCCGGTGAATGCAGAAACTTTCACTGGCTAACATAGGTTTAATAAGAGAATCGAGAATCAATTTGTTTCAAAAAATTTATTAATTTATTTCATTGATGATTCTATAGGATCTATAGTGGATAATAAATTTGCGATAAATATGCCTTAGTTGTTAATAGCTTTTTGATTCGATTTGTACCGTGAAAGACTGATAACCGGACTGGGAAAAATTGTACGATCAGGTTACCAATTATATTGAAAAATTAATGAAGAAAAAACTGGCTGTGTAAACAACAAATGAAAAATGAAAATAGTATATTCTAAGAATATTTTAAATTGATAGAATAAGTCAGGAGATGTCATACTAATGAAAAAATTATTCAGATAAATTTGGAAACACATACATAAGTAAAAATTGAAGAAACGTTTTGTTCATAGTTTGTTCGAGGTGGATGATGGTTTTAAGAATAAAATAAAACATATCATTAAAAAACAGTAAATGTGCCTGCCGACTTTTTCGTTGGTTTTGACTGATTATATATTAAAAGATGATGATAAAACGAGTGGACCTTATTAGACTGTTTTAACAAATTTGATTAGACTGAAATGGAATTAACAGAAAATTTTTACCCACGGTTGATAATGGTTAATCGAAAATATAAAAGCTTAAAAATCGCCAGGTCTAAATAACATGCATGTAAAGATTTTGTCTGAGTAAACCGAGTCTGTTTGGAATTTTTGGTCAGTCCTATTTGACAAATCATTTAAAGGGAATCATGCCTATTATTTGGAACAAAATGTTGTAACTATTATTTACAAGAAAGGAGAAACTAAAGACCAGTTAGCGTTGATCAAAATTGTATATAAGTTGATGAAATCTGACATAAAATATATCATGTTGTTGTACCTATCTAACTGATAATAACTTTATTGTATCATCAGAGCCTCCCAGAGACCTTTGTAGCTTGGGGTAAAATTCCGGCTGTGGTCTACAACAGTCGATGATCTTTTATGCTCATCCCCCAATTTTTAAGCGAGTTACTGATAAATTCAGCAGGGCCGACGCTAACGAATCATGCAAAAATGTAACGTAAATAAATGCCAGCCAGTAAATAAATCTATAAAACGAGAGGCGGGGTGTACCGTACTGATTGCACGTGCCTCATCTAGGCTTTGCAAAGAAAAGGTATCAAATTTCACTTTCAATCAACAAATAAAACTTTGATAATCCGCCAAATTTTTGACAATAGCACAAAAATAATTTAGCAAAATTTTGACACAACTCACCTGAAAATTGCAGAAGCTGTCTTAAGAGACATCAACAAGCCACTAATGAACTATCAACAAAGTAGGATTACATCAGTAACAACTCATTTTTTAAAGCTAACTCCAATAACAATGGGTAAGAAGAAAGTAACAACAAAAAAAGATGAAGAAAATGACATTAATTAATTCAACTGCCTTATCAATCTTTCATCCGTTCCACGGGGAAGTCCGTTATGCAAAAAATCCGGTTTGCGAAACACGAATTCCGATATACTTTTAAGTAAATTGAAATAATCGGTTCCGCGACGAACCAAAAAATTGAAAAAATGGGGAAAAATTAGAAAAACAAGTGGAATTCAGTGAAACCAATCAGTTTGTCTTTTTTCATTTCTCAGAAACACTTAGCAACAAGAAGAAAAAGAGTAAAAAGTGCAAAAACTAAGTAAAAGTCCTTTAGAGACTCTTTGCTTAACTTCGCTTTACCTTTGTTAAAAAATAGTTTAGGTTTTCTTTCTAAATTTTTTCATTTGATTTTACTCAACTGCTCTTGAAAAAAGTTTATGCCTTTGAAAAAAAATGAGAAATTTTTACTTCATTTTTCTTTGAAAAAAACAATTTTTTTCGCGTTTTCATTTATTGTTGTTCGCGCTGTGTCGGAGTTGGAGTTGGCGATAGAATGGAAGGGCCTGTAGTGGGCAGAACTACTTCTCTGACACCTAGATAACCTAGGCTTTGTTTTCCGGCGTTTTTTCTTGCTTCTTTTCTTTTGCCGTTTTTTTCTTCTGCTTCTCTTCCGGCTTGCTCTTTTTTGTCAGGATTGCCGGGGCAACGAAAAACCTTTCTAAAGTCACCTGCTTCCAAGCGTCGCGGCATAATTTGTGGTGGTCGTTGAACAAATCGCCGAGGCGGTTCGAGTGCGTTTCGTTCACCCAGTCCGTTCAAGATGACAGTTACCGCTTGTTCCTCCGTCTCGTCCCGTTTCGCTTTTTCTACCAGAATTTGCAGCTCCTCCACGGTGAGCTCTTTTTGGAGATCTTTGATGTCAACGTTGAGCATGTTGAACTGGTGGGCCACCTCGACGATTGCCATGTCGTCTGAGTTCGCCTTGGCATCAGTCGGGCATGAGCTTCTTCCAGGCGGAGTTGAGTGTTCTTAGGGTCACTTTCTCCCAAGCACTTGGAGAAATAAGAAAAAAAATTTTTGCAATGTTCTCCATAAAAACAGGCACAAAAACGAAAATGTTTTTAGAAAACACGAAAAAAAGTTTACAAAATTGAAAATGCAAAAATAGTTCTAAGAATAAAAATGGCAAAAATTTTGTTTTTAACGTGAAAAATGCGAAGGAAAACGTTTTTTTTCCAAAAAACACGCATAATTTTCGTTTTCAACACGAAAAACATGGAATTTTGTTTAACGTTTTCCACATTGAAAACAAACGATTTTTCGCCATTTTATTCGTGTAATTTTTTTGGCATTTTTAACGTTTGACCCAGGCCTTCTTGTTCGAACACCTGTCGACGAGGAGAGTTTTTGGGTCGACCTTGTGTTTCTTGAAAGCCCGGGGCTTCTCAGACATGTAGACAAGAAGCAGATTCTACTTGAAAATCCCGCTGGCGTTAGCGCCGAGGAGGAGAATGAGGTGGTCCTTCATTAGCTTTGTTCCCGGCTTCGACTTCTCCATCTTCGTGATATAGGATCTCCCCGGCATCCCTTGTTCCGTTCCTTTCTTGTCCGCGCTCGCAGACACCGTGAAGTTTCCACATTGTGCACACCAGTCCGCTTTTGTAGGTGATGGAACCATTCCCTGCTCGCTAGGAAAAAAATTGAGCAAATTGAATTTTTTTTACAGTACAAATTATTGCGTTTTCCGTAGAGTTACATGCAAATTCGCGTTTTGCATAACGGAATTTATTCCGTTCAATTTACGGCGTCTCCTATAGACTAATAGTTTAAGATGAGAAACGCCGTTTCCCACAACGGACTTGTCCGAAACGCCGAAAAAACTAAAAAACTGGGTTTCTTTTCATCTTCAAGTTTTTGATCCAGATGAGAAGGAGGTACTCCATATCGTCTATGCAACTCTTTCTATGTTTCGTGCTGTGCAATCGCATCATGCCTTTTCTACCTTCCGTCGAATTGATCTTGACGGTGTTCAATGTTCAACAGTTAACCCACCATGAAATCATATAATAAATATATGGTTTCATTTTATTAACATAATAATTTAATTTCTCATGTCGAAATATTCGTTTATTTTGTTGCCACCCTTTTATGTCGATTTACTTTTTAAATTTAATTTCACAGTTTTGGTTGCATTTTGTCAAATGACGCATAATAACTAATTATTACTTAATACAATAGTTCTGACGTTCATATTATTTTTCCTCATCTTTTTTTTCCCTTTGCTGAAGTGACACGGTGGCCTATACAAGTCAATTTTCTTATTTGGTCTCCGAAGACCATTGATTGCCATTTTTTATTGTGCAGTTTTTTGGTTTTGAATAAATAAATAAATAAAATAAATAAATAAATAATTGTTGTCTTTGTCAAACCGTACTCTTTGGCGAAACGTTTCTAGCGGGTGCCATTTTCAAATTTCCTGATGATTTTTTTCTTGATCTCAAAAAAAATCGATTTTTTCTAAAAACTCGGAACCGCGTGAAAATTTCATAAAAAACCTGTCGAAGGTTGAAAAGAAGAGATTAAAACGCTGGAAACACTAAAAAAGCAGCACCATCACTGAAAACGGGTGAAAACCTTCTCTCCCAGCAGCAGACTGCACGTCCGCCCGCGGTGGCAACCATGTGCAAAATGCTTGATTTTTTGCGCGATTCCGCGGACGGAACTCAACGGACTCCGGTACGTTGTGCGAAAAAAGTTCAGTATGTGGGGACTTGCCAACCGACCGGAGTCCGTTGTGCGAAAAAGTCCATTTTGCGGACCGCGATTTCGAGGAAAATTTGGTGTGCGAATGATCTATCCTGCGAAGACCCACTGTATAATCATTAAGTCTCCTAAAATTGTTAATAATGTTATCCAAGCAATCATTGATATTACATTTCCAATTATCGTTAATCGTTGTCTTTATTCATGTTCCATTATGAGTGTTCAGTTTTTTTAATATTGTTGATTGATCCTTTTTTGGTAGTTTTAATTCATTGCTGATTGCGTCACTGACTTCGGTGACATCGTCAATTCATGACTTGGTATTTATAAAACTAGGATTCAGACTGTCATACATACCATTATTAAGAAATATCACTACATTTCAGGTTTGATGAGGTTTTGGTTTAGTTTTTCAATATTTCGTAGAGTATTTTTTATCCTTGTTCAATAGTATAACCGCTTTTTTGTCGTTTCAACATTAGTCGGTGCAATGATTTCAATTTGTTGACTCTTTGGAGAAGATCTTCTAGCATGACATTGGCACAAAATATTGTAAAAATTTCTTAATTTTTTCACAATACATTTTGAACAAAATGTATTTCAATGTTTCAAAATGACCTCTCACATGCAAATTGTCAACTATAATGTCAAAACAAATTTATAAGACATTCAAGTGTTGCAGTGCGTCACTAGGCATTCTTTCCAAATTTTTGCAAAATTTTTGAATTTAAACAAGATAAATCTGCGTAAAGGCTAGCATGCTCAGAAAATTTTCGTTTTAAACTATTAATTACAGGATCTATCACTAGTTTGTGATTAATGACACAAAATTTATCTTTCACACATTCAATCGGTTGGTAGGATATATTCTTTTTTCTCTCAAAACAGTCTGCACTTCAATGTCGAGATTTTTTTTATCTAAACAAAAAAGTAGATGTTACATATACGGATATTTTAAAAGCCTTCGACACCATATTTCACAACAAACAGATATCAAAATTTTCAAGTTAATACAAAAATTTTTGGGTTGATCAAAAGTTTCTTGACTAATCGAACATTCAGGGTAGAAAATGGGGATACATTATCACCGCTAAATAAGATCTAGTGGAGTACTTCAAAGCAAACTACGCACCTACCATGGCGAAAAGAGGAAATGATATGAAGTTGATTTAGACTTGCAGAAAAAATGTCAGAAAAAACTACTTCACCAACAGAATAGTAAATGACTAGAATGGCCAACCTGAAAATGTGGCCAAATCAGTCAGCATTACGAACTTAAGAAATCCTTAGATAAATTCTATATATAGAAGTAAAAATGTAAAATCAAAAGATGTAAAGTTAAACTGAACATTTTCAACCAAACCTTTTAATTATAGATTTATTTTTAAAAACTGTTTACATTATGGTGACAGGAAGTTTTGCCTGCGTTGCAAATTTATTCTATTCTTATTCTAGTTCACTGTTTATAAATTTTGGAAAATTTGTAATTGCTTGAAAAATAGAATCAAAATTTTGCGTTAAAATTGTTATTGTGATAACCACTGACGATACAATGATACAACTGATAATAATTTGAATGATACAACTAATAAAAATTTAAAACAGTTCATATTAATATTAAATAAAAATTATGTTTTATGTAAATAAAGTAATAAAAGCAGGAAAATAACACGTAATTCCACTACAAAACTAATTTTGTAGATCATATGCTGCTTCTTGATAATAATTTCACTATATTAGATTAAAATAATTATTCAGCAATTAAAATATATAATTAATATCTGAATAAAACAAAATTTTTTTTACAATGTTACATAGCTTTGCAAAAAAGATTATATCAATTGGTTCGTGCCTAGGTTTCGTGATTAGTCGAGAATTTATCTTGCTTGAGGTTTAAAATGAAGTTTGTTTTAAAGGCCAACGTGTTGGAAGCTTCCGGAAATTTGAATTTAATTAATAAAATATGCTAAAGATTATTATTGTTGAAAAAAATTAAAATAGAAATTTTTACATAATGAAATGTTTCAAAAAGTCTTTATATGTGAAATTTAATTTGAATGCAAATGCAAAATTGTAAATTTAACAAACATATAACTTTATCTTTTAAAATAAAATAAATTGAAATTCTATGTTTATCAAATAAGTTGAAAATATTGTTGTAACCGTTGATCTCGTAACTACCAACACCAATGTTATAACTTCAATGATCTCTGTATTTCCAACACCAATGTTGTAGCTTCTAAGGATCGTCAAGTGTTAGTTTTTTCATAAGTTCAAGATTTTCGATTGATGAACACAACTGCTTCAAACGCAAACATTTTTGAACGTTTTTTTGAATACCAACAGGAATAGAAACAATAAACTAACCAAGTAACTACATAAACCATATTTACGACTTCGTTTTTTTCCTGGAAACCTGACTACGCAGGACGTATATATACAGTCTAGATTTTTACGATGTCTTTCTATGATCCTTTATCAAAAGGTTACAAATATAGCAAAGATAGCAATAATCAAATAATAAAGCGCAATTTTATCATTCCAGTGGTTATAGCAATATCAACGAATGATGATAACTGAATATTCTGAAATTAGTTTAATGCTGGATAAACGATTGTATATTGTGGCTCAAACTGAAGAGTCAATATGCACATTTCTAAAACAATTCCAGTGTTTTACAAAGAAATGTCTTTACGATGCATAAATGTTCAAAGCCCTGATGCGTTAGTTTTTCTTGATACTTTTAATTGGTATTGGGCACAACTCAATTTAATTATTTGTACCTTTCTTGTAACATTGATACTTTACATGTAACTTTGCCTGTGCTTGTTTTTGAAAAGGTACAAGTGTTATATAAAGTCTGATTGCCAATATTTCCAGACTCTTTTGTAACTAAGTAAGCTAAAAACTGAAGCAAGTACAAAAGAAATTACGGAATGACTAATAAAAACAAATTGAAAATATATGTAAAAAAGTAAAAATTGCTAATAGCAAAGAAAACATGAGAAAACTAGTAGCAGCAGCAAAGACTCTAACACAGAGGTTTCAGCCTCATCTGCAATATATAAAAGCAAAATTAGTTTGAAACTTAACAGAAGAAACACAAATAGCAGAAAAATAGAAAGAACAGAGAAAAGAGCTGTACTCAGATGAATCAACAGCAAAAACTAATAAAAAGACTCATGATAGACTCTGAATGGTGATGCTAGAAATGGGTTACACCCATCATATAGTATAATTTTTACTCAATTTATACAAGAAAAAAATGGCCAAAGTAAAAGTAGAAGGTGTAATTTCAAAATGGTTTTCGATCAGGAAGAGTGTAAAACATAGATGTTTATTATTTCCATATTGTTTAATATTTTGGCGGAAATGGCAATGAGAGAATCTTTGGAAGGTTTTGAAGAAGGAAAAAACATAGCAGGTCAAATTACAACAGATTAGAGATATGCAGATGGCTTGTCACTTTTGGCTACTACTACTTTTGGCCCCCTCTAAAGAAAAATTACAAAATTTAGTCAACAGAGTAAAAACAGCCAGCACCAAATACAATGATATTTAATTAATGAAGATAAAAGTTAAGTGATGCACATAAATAGAATCAAATTAGAAGTTAATGTCGACGGAATTTCATTGAAATCATTCCAGGAGTTTACTTATCTGGACTCTACCATTGCGGGCAATGCTGAATGCACCAAAGATATCAGATGACAAAGTGCTAAGGGTTACAGTTGTTCTATAGATGATATGGAAGAGCAATTCAATTGCATTAAATACTAAAATTTGCATGCTGGTATTGCCGGTAACAATTTATGATTTGGAAGGTTGAACATTGAAAAAGGAAGATGAAAGAAGAATTTAAGCTTTTAAAACGAAAGTTTTAAAGAAAATGCTGAGGGTGTCATGGAAAAACAGAAAAAGGAACGATTTGGTTCTTGAACGAATGGAGTACAACAAAAATTACAAAAAACGAAATGAAGAAATTAAGCTACTTAGTCACATCTGAAAAAAGGAACAATGAATTAAAAGATATAATTCAAGGAACGTTGACTGAATCGAAACGAAGTGGTAAGCGAAGAAGGATATGGATCGATGACATAAAGGATTGGACGGAATTTAAAATAGAAAAATTGATAAAAAGAATGCAGAACAGAGTTAACTGGAAAAACATGTTCATGATGCAGCTTACCCTCGGATCAAAGATGGTTAAAGGCAAGAAAAGCCAATTTTATAAATTGAAGAACCTCTAGTGCTTTTTCAAACGTTCAATTTTAACACAATTAAAGTTTTAGATAATTGTTTAAGGTTTGAGTTAAACCAAAAACATTGCAAAATAATAAAATTATACATGTTATTTTCGTTTGATTTCATTTATTTCCTGTTGTAAAAACTGAAACACAATGTGAAACGAACTGATTTGCTTTATACGAAAGTTGTTAAAATTTTTTATAAAACAAAAATGAATATTGTTGCGCTATTAAATAATACAAAATTTGTTGAATAATTTAAAACAACTAACACATACCAACATCAATTTTTTATTTTGGTAAAAAATTTTGAAAATATTTTTATTTAATCAAAACATTTTTGTCTGCTATTAATTCATCAAATATGCTTTTCTTGTATCATTCTAGTCTGTCTCATAATTAACTTCTATCGGCAAATTTTAAAGTTTTTTCATTTAATATGAATAAAATGAAATACAAAGAACAAAAAAAAATATTTTCTCGTGTTTCGTGTGTCGTTTTGATTTGCATACGGCGTCGAGTAATTAAATATATTTTATCCACTTTGTGAAAAGATTGTTGCATACTGATTAAATGAAAAATTATTCCAAACATATTGTATAAAAATATCGGAACGATTCTAAAAAAGTCTAACACATTTGTTCAAAAAATTTTATATATTAAACCTATATATTTGTTCGTTTTTCAAATTTAATATCTATATATTACTAGATGACATGTTATTAGAAGCTTTTCATCAACTTAACAAAATAAAATGAAATTGAAATAAAATTTCATTTATCTACATCTACTGACCATAAATACTCGATGGCCTCGCTGTGCTGCCTTCATAAAAAATGAACAAGAAAACAAAAAATCAAAAATCGCCAGCTTCTAATGGGCTATGGGCACCGTTATTATTATCAATTTTGAGATCGGGAATTTAATTTTTTAGCATACACCTCGATCATCGTGCTAAAATATTTCCTGCCTGACAATTCCACATTGACTAGATGCTCAATAGGCTGCTGAAAATTTCCTGATCAGGGCTTAAAAATTGTTAACGTTTTCTTATACATAAATACCGTTAATTATATTTTTATTGACATCTTCTAACTTCAAAACGTTTTTACAAACTTATTTATTATATAAAATATTTTAATCTTAAATTAGTTGGATAGAGGCTGGAATAATCTGGAATAAATTCTGAACAAGCATTAAACACCATGAGTCAATAGTATAATGCATAAGTTTTATCAGTGCAGAACGTGTAAGTATGAGTTTGCACAATGGATTTAAAACTTTGCTGCAGATAGTGGCAAAGTGATCTAAGACGGGATCATGGCAGCCCCTTTGTGAGCAGTGTTGTTATTATAAATCATTAAAACTTGGTTTTTAGACCGGAAAACAATGTTTTTATGTACAAAATGCAATAGGAATTGGCATGATAAACAAAAAATTGCTTCCAACCTAATTGTAGCCAGACTTTTGGTAAACTTCTTGGGCCCCTCGTCAAATTTAAAAAATGTGTTAACATTTTTTAAATTTAAATTTAAACAAATTTAAAAAATGTGTTAACATTTTTTAAATTTTGGCACCCCGTCAATGTGATCTAGATCCGCCACAAGCTGCATATGTTGTTTGAGGCACTCTCCTCACATTTAACATTCCTACTTCAAAAAAGTATTTTTTATTATAATAGCCCCTTAAATAAAATAATGAAGTTATGGAATAGACTATATGCAACCACAAGGTCTATCAGTTCAAAAACCTTTTTCAAATCTAACATTCTCAAGTTAATTATCATGTCGTTTTTAATCATTTTTTGTTTAAATCTGTTTTTCATTATTACAATTTCATTACTTTAACCAAATTTCAGTTAAATGAATTTGCCAAAATGGTCATTTTTTTATTTTAAATTTATTTCCTTGCATGCACACACGTGTATATATGTACATTATTTAATACATGTGCTTTTTATATCCTCTTTTTCTACTTTCATAGAAAATTCGTATTTATTTTATTCATTTCATTTTTATTATTCCTACTGTTTTTATTACTTAATTCCCACTTAATTTCATATTTTGTTGAAAATATTTGTTAGTTTCTTGTTTGGTTGTCAATTTTTAAATCACTGGTCTCATTGTCATAATTGTTCCATTGATTGATGTAATTTTTCTGTCATTGTTTAATTGATTGCTTGATTTGTAAATATTTGTTTCATTGATTATTTTTGTCGTTTGTTAAATTTACTATTTATATTTTGAGTAATTTTTTGATTGACCGATTATTTGGTAAGGTTTCATTTCAATGGTTTAGCGCTTAATTGATTATTTGATCGTATTTTATTAGTTGATTAATTGATTGTTTGTTTTTTATATTGTTTATATTCTAGAAATTAAATTTGATTCTTAATTGATTATTTTTGTTTGTTATCTTATTATGTTATCTCTAATTCTGTTAATCAATTCGCCAGTTAACGGTGCTTGCTGTTTACAATAGTTTTCTTCATTGAATTTTCCATATGCTTTTCTATTTTTTAATTTATTTTGGTTTATTTTATTTTTATTTGACCTATTTCTAGTTAATAATACAAAATGTTATTAAACAATGAAAAAGCCAAAAATTTTGCAGATTTTTTTTATTGAACTTGTAAGAATAAAATATTTTTAATACTTGATCAATCAAATAACAATTGTTTTGTAAATTTTTTTTATTTTTTCAGAAAATGTAGAGTAGTTACAAGAACAATTTTGAATTAAAAAAATTGTGGAACGTGACGCTGTGATACTGTTTTGTGTGGTTACTGCCCTTCTTCGTTTAAAAAATAAGAAAATATTTGTCACTATTAACCACATACGTCATAAGATTTTAACCCGCCATCAGTATGAGAAACAATGCCAAAAGCCTATTAAAAATCAAAATGAATTAGGTTGCAGGTTGTTGATGTTGTCTGTTGATGACCATAAAAGTCTGTTGATGACCATAAAATTTTACGTGAGAAGAACAATGTGCAAGACGTCAAGTTGCACTGGCTCGGACAGATCAGTGCAGAGAGTGGCTCACTAAAAGCAAAGGTGAACAAATGAAATCTCTGTATCGTATAGCAAAATAAGCGAAAAATATAGAAAATAAATATAAAATAAAATATAAAAAATAAATATAAAATATAGCGAAAAAAGACAGTTAGTGCCTCATGTATAAAAAATGACAAAAATGAGATGGTTCTTGAACGAGATGAGATCAAGCTACAGTGGAGAGAGTACTTCAACCGTCTGTTAAACGAAACAAATCCAATCAATGTTAACTTTGACGCTCCAACTATCGAAGGTCCGATTCCAGACATCACTGTAGAGGAGCTTACAGAAGCTCTGAAAGCTATGAAGGATGGAAAGGCAGCAGGGCCCTCTGGACTCACAAATGACATTATCAAAGCATCTGGTACTGCAGGTATCCAAACGTTACTACAATTTTACCGTGAAATCTGGAGAAATTGCTCAATGCCGACTGAATGGAACTATAGCATGACAGTTCCTCTATACAAAGGCAAAGGTGATCTATTGAACTGTTCATCATATCGGGGTATACGTCTGTTAGAACACTCACTGAAAATTGTTGAGAAAATCGTTGAGAGAAGATTAACGTCGTGCATCACAATCGGAAATTATCAATTTAGTTTTCTAGCAGGGAAATCAACAATTGATGCAATTCACATCAATCGGCAACTGCAAGAGGAGTACCTCGCAAAGCATCTACAACTATCACACATTTTGTAGACCTTGAAAAAGCATTTGATCGAGTTCCCAGTGAAGCAATCAGGTGGAGTCTACGTCGACAACTCATTCCAGAATATCTTGTCAACACAACGGTTGGAAACACAGATGCATTTGACATCGGCTTTGGAGTTCACCAAGGCTCGATTCTCAGTCCACTGTTATTTATAACTGTGATGGAAGAAATCACAAAACCGATACGCACTGGTGACATTTGGAATCTAGTATATGCTGATAATATCGTGTTAACAGTCACGCCTGAGCAGAATGCAGCACAGATGTTTGAAGATTGGAACACCAGACTCGCCGATCATGGATTCAAAGTCAACATCAGCAAAACTAAAGCAATGAACACTGGTGAACCCGTCCAATCCACAGCTACTGGACGATGGCCCTGTTCAGTTTGTAAAGCTGGTGTCAGCAGTGTAACTAGTGGTGTCACAAACGTTGTTCACAAATAATTGGTTCTTTATCTAAAATGTCTAATTTTGTTTGTCCTGCTTGCACCAATCCACAACAACAAATTCTAAATAGCACTGTTTTTGAAGCCATTAAGGTAGAGAAAGTCACATCGTTTCAATATCTAGGGGATGTTCTGGATTGTACTGGAACAGCTGAAGCTGCCGTTCGAGCACGCATACGAGCTCCTGAAATAAATGGCATCTCCTTGCTTCTATATTGATGCGGCGTGACATCCCACTACCACTACGATCAAGACTTTATAAATCTGTGATACGTCCGGTGTTGTTATATGGTGCAGAAACATGGCCAATGACAACCAAACTGGAACAACAACTTCAACGAACCGACATGAAAATGCTCCGATGGATGCAACGAATTAGTCTGAAGGACCACATCAAATCTACAGAAATTCTGCGTCGTGCTGGTTTAGATGACATAAAGGACGAATGCCGGCAACACCTTCTGCGGTGGTTTGGTCATGTCAAACGAAGTGGAAACAGTGCCATAACTTCTTTTGCAGATGTTGAAGTACCTGGCACACGTCCCAAAGGCCGTCCAAAAAAGTCCTGGTCGCAAACAATCGAGCAAGACATGAAAACTCTAAATTTAAATGAAATGGATACAACTGATCGTCTAATGTGGCGCAAAAAGTTGATGGCAAAGAAAACAACGTCCTACCTTGGGAAACCGGGTCTCTGGACGCAAAACGAAGATTGATTGCAGGTTGTTATAAATTAGTAGAGGTTAATTTTGATAACCAAAATGTTGGCTAGAAGCAATGGCAAACCCTTGTGAATGAAATGTACCTACAATTGTAGTTACATAATTATAACTGCTCGGAGTACTCGTTGGTTTTTTTTGGAGTATTGCTGAGCGGCAAGATGTTGTAGTGGGTAGGAATCCGTTCCTGCTGCTGCAGTGACTGGATTCCAATGGTTAGAGGTCCACGCCAATCGCATGCAATGTGTGCCTAGCAGACGTAGATCCAGGCGTTTCCACATGCGCTGTTTGTTTGTTTATACATCTGATAATGATTTTAAAGAGAATTATTAATAAAGTTAATAACAATAATAATAATTGAGGTAATAAATATATTTTTTTCTAGAGGTAGTAAATGAGTTTTGAATAAATTCAAATAAATTAAATAAACAAATAAATAAATATATACATATAAATGTAATAAATAAAACAATGAAGAAGCAAATTTTGTTACATTGAACAGGTCACGGTATCAACAGGTCAAACAAACAGCTTAATGAATAAACGTAGAAATTCATTAAACAAACGAGGAGTTTAAAAAAACAAAAATTTCAAGTTCGAATAATGTTATTTAAAAAAATTTTTGAGACTGTAAAAGCTAGCATCAATTCGTTGCTAACATAAAATAAAATTAAAATATATAGCCTAATTGCGCAGTTTAACGTTTCGATAAAGTAAAGTGAAAGTAAAAAGGTTTATGTAAAATGGAAAGATGAATAATAAAATGTGTTGCTCAACTTGTAATAAACTGAATAATGAGAATTTTAATTTAATTATTTTTAATACCAATGACACTTTGACTTAAATCTTTTTGCCGCTTTTACGTAATATTTCATTCGCCAGGAGCATCCAATACTCTGCTACCAAGTCGAACAATCAAATGAATTTCTTGAAATTTTGTCGCATGTTTGGCGTTAATTAACTTGTTGTTTAACTTTTTGATTAATATGTCTAGACTGCAGTCGATTAAAAATTGGACTGCAAGGTTGGTTTCAGGTGACCTTAAATACGATCACGTTAAGCCAATTCTTTTTGCTCTTCACTGACTTCCGGTTTATTGAAGAGTTATTTTCAAAATAAGTTTAACGGTTTTCAAATGTATTTTTAAACGTATTAAAAAAGTTGTTTCTAAATATTTAACTGACGGAGTCATTCCTAGAATAATACCGCTGCTGGATCAAACATCGCGCTCTGACAATTCAGGTTTACTGTTTGCACCTGACACAAACTTGGCTTTTGGTCGAAAGAATATTTTCGCAATGGGTTTGCCTAGAGACCTTCGTGATCCTGCGTTGCCTGATATTTAATTTCGTAAAAGGTTGAAACACCATCTCTTTGTCCAAGCTTACCCGTGCTAATGTCTTTTTATCTCCATTCATTGCATGCTTTAGTAAAGTGCTACGCAATATACTGCAATAATCATTAGCGCCTCTGAAGTTTTTTTAAAAAGGCGCTTACAAACACACCATTAACAATTATATCATCTTGCCTAAAACGGCGGATTTGTCTTTTTAGGGAATCCTTACGGGGTAAAATAGCTGCAACATTAGTATGCAAATCGGCAACTGTTTCGGACAGAATTTGATGAGGATTTTCTAGCATTTCCATCGATCGCTCACGAATGTTTGCAATAGCACCTAGAACCACGGCCAGCATGTGCGGCGTGAGTGCGATCTGTCACATTTTAAACCAATAGACCGTTTAAGACTACTGTCCAAACCCGTCCATTGCAAATAGACCGCTTTTCACAAACTCATGTAATTCAAGCTGGGAGACACGCTGAACCATTTAACGACGAGCAATATTTTGAAGACAAGAGAATAGTACAGTAATTTAATTCAGTCTACGCGCGTTTGGCTGTTATGCTCTCATTAACTTTTGCTACTGAATTACATTACTGAACCGGCATGTCCATTGCAACCGTTCAAGAGGATAGCGGTGCGTTAAGAAAAATCTGTACATATTTCGTTCTGTAATTTATTTTTAAAACTGGTTTAAATTAGCGAATGTTCGTTTATACCCAAGTTGTGTAGAGCGAATTGTCCTGGGGCGAGTTGTGCGCAAACCTACTATAGTGATTATCCTGTCCGCTAAACTTTAACTGTCAATTATGCTAATTGTTTTTGATATGATGAATGTTTTGGCCTGACTTTTAAATTCACTAACTTGAATAATGATTAGAAACATTTTTTCAAAATTCTCATGGATTGCGTTGACACTGCTTGTCCTATTATAAATCGTTTTAGAAAACTAAGGGTGAATGTGGAATTATTATATAACTATAATTTTTCAATAATTTAAAATCATTTTTATAAAGAATATAAAATATAACTCTAATTAAATCTCTTATTAACAAAATAAATATTTTAAATATAAATGTTATTCCACTGAAACAAAACGTAAGTATTCGAGAAATACGTTACTTTGAGAAAAAATTCATAAACTGAAATAACAGTAAGGAAAAATTGAACTTAATAAATTCATTAAACAAATTTAATCTTTTCAATGAAACAGCTGACCAACCAATGAAATTAATTAAAGTTATACAGTTCATAATATTAATAAATTTTCTATCAAATTAGGCCAAAAATTATATGGCTCGTCTTCTTACACCAATGACATTCCATCTTTTATCAACCATCATGAATCTTCCCACTCTCTTTATTATCCGCAACATTTTAAATATTTGACACAACATCTGAAGAAATTGTTTGGCTTACAAATGGCTTAAATCGTATTTGGCAGTTTGTATCAGTCGAAAATTTTGAGTTCTCCTTCTAGTTGTTCGAACTGGCCTACCTTAGGGCCAATATTGCGGCCTTTGTTGTTAATGGTATTTATTTATCTTGTGTCCGATCAATAAACACACTCTTATTTTTTGCTATTTTTGAGTACAAGAATCCTGAAACGTTATTTATAAACGACGAATAAACAACTGGAAAGAAATAATTACTTTGAGTCAAATAAATATTTTGAAATTGCAAAATTATGCTCTGCCATTTTATTACAACAAAAACCAGCAATCGAATATTTAATAACTTAACTATTAAATTCAAGAAAGTTTTTTAGAATTATTATAAGTGATCTAAATTGGACAATAATCAATCAATAGGAAACTTATATAGCGCCAATTAAATGTTCTCAAAGGCGCTATCGTGGTTATATAAACATAGAAGTCTATAATACTACTAATAAGAGAAAACTTAAGTAAAATTATCAAAGTTCAACAGTGAATATATATGTTTTCAGTTCTTTTTTAAATGTTCTAAGAGACAGTCCGGACAATCGCAATGACTGTGGCAGGCTGTTCCATACGATCGGACCTGCAACAGAGATACTTCCAGCACCAATCTGCAAGCGTGAAACCGGTATTGTCAACATACTCCTATCATCTGACCGTAGATGAGACGACGCAGACATTTTTTTTGAAAATTTGTTTAATAGATATTCTGGTGACATCCTGTTCAGTGATTGAAACACAAGTACAGCGATTTTAGAGGTTATCATTATCTACTGTCCTCCAGGATGGGCGTCACGTGATCAAATTTCATCCTGCCAGTTACGAGTTTTGCAGCCATGTTCTGAACTGACTGAAGAAAAGTGATTGATTTCCTTGAAAGTTAATAAAATAAACTGTTGCAGTAGTCATTTCGAGATGTTATAAAAGCATGAATCAGCGTCACCAGTGCCAATCCATCCAATGAATGTCTGATTCGATATATGTTTCTTAAAAAAATATTACTTGATGTATATATCTTTCTAATGTGATTTTTCATTGATAAATTGCTATCAAGTAAAACTCCCAAATTTGATGCATTTGCAAAAAATGATATCTTTACGTCTCCCATCTATACTGAACTGAAATCAAGTTCTGACAACTGCGGCCACGTACCCACCGGTAGCAACTGCGTTTTACATTCATTGAGCTTGAACGAGTTCGGTGACATCCAATATCCAACCTCTCTCAAACACTGAACAAATCTATCAATCTCATCACGAAACGAACCTGGAGAACCAGTGACTAGAACCTGAATGTCGTCCGCAAACGCAAGACAAATAAATCCATGAGAGGAAATTGTTTTAATTATATCTGCTGTGTACAAAATAAAGAGAATTAGTCTCAGAACTGTGCCTCGTGGCACACCTGTTGTTACCAAGTCATCATCAGACACTGAATTGTTAAACGAAACCTGCTCTGTTCGGTTAGTCAAATATGACCTGAACCATTTATGAGCTGTATCTGTAAAATCATAATCGTTACGTAATCTTGCCAGCTGAACAACATGGTTTACACAATCAAATGCTGCTGACATGTCTAAAAACGATAACAACTATAAATTCTGAACGTCCATTGCTGAAAACAAACTAGACAAAACATGTAACAAAGCAGTTTTAATAGAAAGGAACTGTCTATAACCGGATTGATTACAATGCAGTAGATTATTTTCAGATAAAAACTTCAAGAAACTTTTAACCACGCGTTCCATAAATTTTGAAATGAATGGAAGATTCGATATCGGTCTGTAATTATTAACATCATTTACATCACAACCTGTTTTCTTCAAGACGAGGAGAACGAGAACCACAGCATGCCTGAAAGAGGAGGGAAATTTACCTGATTGAAGGCAGCAATTAACGAAGCTTGTGAAAAATTTGATGAAAAATTTCAAACACTTTTTTAAGATGTAAAGTGGAATGACATCCTGTGAACTTGTCTTACATGGGGAATTGATTATAATATCTTGCAACTCATCTTCAGTGATCATAGGGGAGGAAGAAAACATAACAGCATTATGTGACCTACCATCATCTGTTGATTGAATGGAGTCTTTGTCAGTGAAAAACTGCAACAATTGATGGGCTGTAATACCAACATCACTATCGAACATTAAACTTTTTTTGTCTCTAAACAACACCCTATTAATTGCCTGCCATTTATTTTTCGAGCTATTGCTGACCTCAATTAAATTCCTCCTATAACCTGAACGTTTGTCAGAATATAAACACTTATCACCTTCAAGACATTTTTAAGACCAAAAACTCCATCAGTTAAATAGTTAATTATTTTATGGACCTTGTCACCATCATCAGAACCTTCCTTCAATCCGAACAGTATCATGTTGGCTTCCATCTCTTTTACCTCGAAAATCTTGTTCAGCGTTATTTAAACACTTTTCACATCATCATTGATTGCTTGCACACTTCTACCAACTTCAGATTTGACAACTTCCGAAAAAGAAGATCTGTTCATTTCACGCTTCAAAACCGATATTTCGTCACATAGCTTTGACCCAGAAGCATCCATTTTCAAAGGTTTGCTATCACCCTCATCCATAACCGTTTTGATGGCGTCTATCTCCTGTTTAATATCTTTATTCAATTCATTCATTTTTTCATCTCATCAAATACTGGGAGTTGCCAGTTTCAATTTTTTCGGAGACAATTCTCTCGATAGGTGATGAGCCAGAACAATGTAATTGAAGTCAGTGCTTCATTAGACATGCCTGGAACCAAGAACTAATGCCCTCCTTATCACAAGCAGCTGCTTCGTTTGCATTTCTACCCGTCATTGTTGCAACATAAAGTTATCAAAGTTCACGTAAAATTCTTTATGTCTATTCAATAAACAAAACAGTTTAGTACGCTATATAAGTTAAACGTACAAATTTAGCAACAAACTTTGCAAATATATAACCGAACAAATTCCTGTAGATTGTAAACTCTCATAATGAACGCAAAACTTTATAATGTACTTAAATGTTAATTTCAACCAGTTAACTTTATTCGAGTAATGCATACACATTAAATACAGTCAAGGGTAAGCGCAGTTTTAATTACTTTAAAGTCAAATTTTCCAATTAATTTTAATTATTTTTCCATATTAAAAATACGAGAATACTTTCCTGAATTTTCTCAACAATTTGAACCCAAAAATAATAATATAACGAGAAAAACAACGGCAAAAAAGAAGAGAAATAAAGAAAATTTCAAATGCGACCGATTCCTAGAAATATTGAAAACCATATACAAGACAATAAGTGCTCATGTTACTTTTCAAATTTGCTGGTTTTGTATTAAAGGCTGGTAAAAAATTTGGGAAACCACGTTAATGTTATACTATTTATTTTTTATTGTTACATCATATATGATAATATTTTTGTGTGATCTACATTTAAACATCCATCAACAAATTTTTTAATGCTCTAATATATTTTTACACGTATGTTTTGTACTGAAAAACATCAGCCAACATATAAAATTTTTACTATAGAAGAATTTGATAAATATTCAACATTGGTTTTTGTACATGAAGTAATTATCAATTATAAAAACTATCGATTGATATTGTATATTCTTTGAAAAGGCAGCAATGATTACTAAAAATAAGTAAGATCAGAATAATGAAAAAACTAACAATTAATAATGAGGAAACAATTCTGTAAAATGCTGTAGAAACACTGTTGAAAAAAGATAAATACTGTGAGGCCAGACCATTTAAACATCTAAACACCATAAAACAAATTTTAAAAGGATAATTCTTTTTTCAATTAGTAACCAATATAATTTTTCTTTGTTTCTCCGTCAAGTCATTGCCTATTGCCTTTTCCTTTCAAATCATCATTCAGATTTTCTAAATTTGACAGATTTTCCATAACTAAATTTTTTTAGAAACTTTGATTTTAACTTGACGGGCAACGGCCTGACATATTCATTGTCTGTTACTTCGTCATTAGCTTTCTCCACGTTTATAACTGTCCCATTTTTAACGTATCAGCGTAAGATTTTTAAAGATTTTCCTGCAGAACATTTATTTTGTCACTATGATTACCGTCAGTTACTTAGTTTTCAAGTTAATCTTAAATGGGTTTGATTTGATTGCTGATTTTGACGTTGCAATCCTGTAGGTTTTCTATCTCATTAGTCACTCATTCAGCTGTTTGATTTAAACATCTCTATTTGCCAAATGCAGTTATTATGTATCCAGATAAAATAATTGCAAGCTGAAGTTCTTTCATCGTCGATCCGGACATGTCGCGATACTTCCGATGCACTGTCACTGAGCAACAGAATTTTCACTGTGATGTTGTCTTACAATTATGAAAAAAATCTGAAAATCATGTTACTCTGTGTTTCACAATTATAACAAAACTTAAATTTTAATTTTAAACTCTAATCACAGGCGACAGACAGAACAAATTCAACCAAACATTCATGGGCAGTTCAAGTAAATTACCAATTTAATTATTAGTTTTAGGTTTAAATCATTTTAAAGTTCAAATTTAAAAACCAATTTTAATTTATTCAAAACAACAAACAAAAATATATTTATACTCTCTTTAAATTCATCTTTATAACGAATCCAAAATCAACAATCTAACACAAAAAGAACTTATTACAAATCACGAAAAACGAGAAATAAATTGCTTCGACTATCTGATTGATGTATTATCTTGATTATATCTTAATTACTTTTAAATTACCAGACACTAACACCAAGCACTATGATTGAAAAATTGGTTTTTCAAAATATGTTAATAAGTTGTGGTGCGTGTAATATAATCGCACACGTTTTCATATTTTTTAATGCTATATATGCTAGAAGTTAAATGCTGTTTTGCAAATTGGGCTATATAATAATTTCAATCAATTATTACAATTATTATTGTCTTGATTCTATAATTTGATATTTCCATTTCTAATTAATTGTTAGAATCAGATATCTTCGTAACGACGCTTGTTGCTGTTTATAAGCACGAGTTGTGAAGATGAGGTTGGGGTTGTCGGATTATGGAGATACGCTGTGAACTATTGGCGATTGTGCGACCATTGAGTGTATTTCTGGGATAAGCAAATGATTTAGTGTTTCCATTACTGATGGGCATTTAAACAAACGTTTAAACAAGTTTTTGTTTGAAACAGTCATGTTTATTTACGGTAGAACGAATAACTTGATGATAGTGCAAGTTACAACACTGGTTCATTAGCTGATTTTTGATAGATTAATAATTTTAGCAATTAAGAATGCCAACACTATAAAAACTCAATGAAAGGAACTACGGAAATGAAACCTCGACTCAAAAAAAATAAAACCAGCTCTTATAAACCACCCATGGGACGCTCAGATAAATAAAAGTAACGATCCTGATAAGTTCAATTTTCCGAATCCTTTGAAACAAATGTCAGCCGAACTTAAATTAGAGGCAGCCGAAAATAAACAAATCTGGAAACAGAAAGATGAAAGAAGTCATAACACATCAACTTGGAATGTGAAAAAGTATACAAGAAACAGTTAGTTCACGAAAAGAGATTTTTTGGACATGTTTTGCATAATGCCGAATGATAGAATATATAAAAGCGGGAAAAGGTTGGAAAACCTGTTTAAAAATGGATGGAAGGCATTACGGAATAAACTATGGTGAGATTATTGAAATCAATATATATGGCAAATAATAGAAAAAGTTTAGTAACAATTATAATTTTAAAACTTTTTTTCATACATGAGCGGATGAATTTTATAAAAATAAAAATGAGGAATGATTAATACTTTGATTTAATCAGCCCCTGTTCAATCAATTTAAAATTCTTCTATTTGCGTATGTTTGTTGAAATGATATATAGTGACGTTAGTACTGTTTCTCCTCAATTTTAGTAAAAAACTTGAAGTTCAAATTTTTTTGAACACTACTTAATCAACTATGACAACATTTAAATGTTTGATCTTTCCGCGTTATAATACCACCGTTAATTTTAATGAAGAGTAACATTTTTGAATTTTTTTGTCTGAAAGTGCAAAGTGCGAAAATTTTTGCTGTTAAGTTTGCATATAAACAATTTCTAACGTTTCGGTTTGAAATTGCATCCATGATTTGAAATGCCCTCAAAATGTTGAATTTAATCTTGTTGTTATGAGCTGATGTTACTTTAAAATCGATAAGCAGGAATCATTTGCGTGCATGTTTTTGTTGTTTAAATTTTCTTCATTATATTTATTTCATAAAACAATGAAATGAGTTGCATCCTTAGCAATGAATGCTACCGATTCAAATTCAACCAATTTAGAATAAGATAACCAAATAAAATGAAATTACAGTTTGTTGCAGTAATTATAACTAAGATAATAATTATAATGTTCTAAAATTAATGAATGTATGTTAAGAAAATTTGATTAATATAATAGCTGTTTATGATGAAATAAAGTAAAAATAAAATATACAAATTTGTATGTTTGTACATGTACATTATAGTTTATTATTAAATTTAACAATAAAATGCCTTTGAGATTATCATCGATTTTTGATTTTACATTCACTTTCAAAAATAATAAAAACATTTTTCAAAAACTTTTTTTAATTGTGATTGCAAAATAATCGCAACACTGCTTAATTAGATTACATTAAAATTTTCTATTAATTCAACGTCTGCACTTGCAATTATGAAATTTGTAGAAAAATTGCGAGCAGCAAATAATTTTACGCGGTCGATTGCATTCTTGTAGACCAATAAATAAGATTTAATGTCAGCCTTTCGACGTTTGTGTGCAATGTGTCGGTAGTCATTTGTTATTCCTTGAAATATGATGATGATTATATATTGCATTTTTAGAATTGCTAAGCATGTGAAACAAATTATGATAAAGAGCAGTGATCAATTGATTTCTAAGCAATATATTTTTTGTGTGAAAAAATTCGTATTTTCTATCAAAATAAAAAAGATTATTTTTTTTTAAAGTTACATTTATTCATATGCCCGAGTTAAATTTTAACTTTTATAATGAATTCTACATGATTATTGCTAAAATTCTGTTGCTTCAGATATAAGCAGTCTGCGTTTAGGCTACTCGTAATGAAAATAGCAATCTTATTTAATGTAAATTGAAAAATTATGCGAATCCAATAAACAGCACAAGTTCTAACACGAATAGCAATAATTTTTTTTAATAGATAGAATGAAATTATTTGATGCCGGTAAATAAAGATGAATGGATGAACAAACATAGTTCATTGCATTAAAACTGATTTGACAGTGGCCATCCATAGTTCAACTTGGCCATGTTCCGTAGTTCATATTTTGTCAATTTTTTTAAGTTACACATATCACACAAGTTTCCACATGATCGACTAAGTGCCATTTCTCCTTCCTCTTAATCTGTTTCTAATATTACTTTCATCTCTAAAGTAATAGAAAAACTAGTTTATAATCAATTATCATTTTATTTAAACTCTAACACCATGCTACTGTATCTCAATCTGGTTTCAAGCCGGCTCACAAAACTGAAACTTCTTTACTTAAAAAACATAATAACCTTACTCTTCTTAATGCTCTTGACTTTTCTTTTTCTTTTGATACAGTTGGTCATACTGCTAGGTCAGTCAGTCTGTTGGTCAGTCT